TGTTACTTCTGCAATAAAGGAGAAATCCATAGTGGACTAGTAAAAAAAAATATTTCAGAAATCTACTCTTTAGTAGTTAACAAGCAAATAATAAAAGGATCTCTGTTTCATTGGTCCATTGTAGAGGAAAATCTGCCCTTTTCTATCTCACCAGGTATCACATCCTGGGGCAGTATTAGGTTGTCTGTGAAACCCAGCAAATAGTGGCCGACAAGTAAATATAAGGGGATGTGGGGATCACAATGTAAACTGAACAACTGGAATAATGGCATTTGCCTACAAACAAGTGAAACTCAGTAGGCAAACAACAGCAGACAACACAGCCATGTTTGCACCAGTAATAGTTGGAAAACATTATTTGAATATGGAGTAAGAAAAGGACAAAGTCTGCCTTCCTGGTAAAGTCAGCGGATGATGTCACATATTTCTCTCTTCCAGAATGGTAGGCTGACCATCCGTGCATTAGGACATTGAGGACATGCAAATGAGCCTTAACTATATTGACATTTAACTGAATGCATCCTTGTATCAAGTTCCGTATCATTTTTTTCCTAAAAAAAAATACCATGCCAGAAAAATTAATGCAGCACATCTACATAAATAAAGGAATTTGATTCTTAGCACAAGTCCCCTACACCTGCTGTTTCATACATATGCTAGCAACTTCCTTGGGACAGCTTGACACATGGCAGTGACCTTGCTTTAACTCTAGTAAAGGATGCAGGAGTTTCCTGAATGTTTGTGAATGTCCCAAGTTGACGTTAAACAGCTGCCTGAACTTGACATTACCAATTCCATAGTTTAAGAGGAAACTAAAGCAAAGATGTATTTTCCCTCACCAGAGCAACAAACTGAACATGTTGCAGCAACTGCTACTGATCTCAGAGAATAATCACCTTTAAATAATGCAGTACTCTCATCTTCATTTTCTGGAGTTCTCATCCTGCACATTTGCCTATAAAGCTTCTCAGATGTAATTAATACATACGTTATAATTGAGTCAATTCTGTGTGAAAGTACTTAAGGTCTAGACTATCAATAAAATAATTACTGGTCTCAAAAATGTCTCAGTATAGTTTAGACTTCATATCTAATTAAGACAGCTGCTCTTTTAAACTTAGCAAATTAAATGTCTTGCCAACTCAGAATATGCATGTAATATTCTGCATGATGGCGCCTTCAACACACTTCAGATCCTTTCATGGATTAAATCAGATTAACAATTAAGAATTCTAATCTTGTGATTAATTAATCTTTATCAGTTTGAAACCTTCATGTTTCCATCCCTATTTGTAAGAATCACCACCCTTAATCATTTCTTGCATTGTTATAAAAGAGCAGCAACTGCTTAATTAAAACACTTAAAAGTAGATATTTTGGTGCCAGACATACTGATATAATACACCTGATAGCTGTAAGCTATGACGGATGTGTGCTGATCCAGATGATGATCCAAGCTAACCTAATAACAGAATGGCAGTGTTCACACGACATACTAAATCACACACTAGCCAGCAGCCATAGGCGGTGTTTAATTTATGGTTCAGTGAATCATGCAAAAAACCCAAGCAACTGGCCCAGATAATTCTGAAGACCATGTGCGAAAATGATGAAGTGATCAGCAGTGTTAACCAAGTTATTGATAAACTGATTAAAAGGAAGCTATGAAACACGAGTACAACTTGCTAATTGCAAAGTACAGGTAGCTCTCAACTTACAACCACAGTTGAGCTCAACATTCCTGTTGTTAAGTGACTTATGCCCCATTTGATGACCTTTTGTGCCATAAGTTGTTAAGTGAATCACTGCAGTTCATAAGCTGGTAACACGGCTAAGTGGATCTGGCTTCCCCATTGATTCCGCTCATCAAAAGGCTACAAAAGGTGATCACATGACCTTGAGAAACAGCAATGATCATAAGTATGAACCAGTTGCAAGCATCTGAATTTTAATCACATGATCATGGGGATGCTACAAAGGTTGTGTGAAAGTCACTTTTTTCAGTGGTGGTGTAACTTTGAACTGTCACTAAATGAATGGTTGTAAGTCAAGGACTATCTGTAGATTGCAATTCCTCCTAACATTTATTTTTTGAAAAAATAAATTCAATAGTAAAGGATCAAGTGGTCAAGAAATATACAGCAGACTAGCACTTGTTATAATAGCCATGGACTCTCTAAAAATATATTCAGATGCTATGTATACACCTATGAAATTCCAAGCAGTGCAGAAAATTGTACACCTGGAATAATTATAAAAGTGAAAGTTGGACTCTGAAGAAGTAGGTTAAGAACAATATTGACACTTTTGAACTTGTTTCCGAGAAGACTCTTGAGAATGTCACGGGCAGCCCATGGAAGCAAAGTGATAGCTCATCAAACACATTTACACAGAATTCTCACTTGAGGAATGAATAACTTTTGACCTATTGTGCAAAGACCTAGCTCTTTGGAGAA